CTCTGCTCTCTTTTTCTCATGGTCTTCTCCTTCTTTCCCATCGCCCGGCTTGCCACAGGTTTGCCTGCTGTGTCTAAAAGTAGCAGCAACAGCAACCCAGACTGACAGCTCATTGGCTCATTTGGATCACGTGCAGCCTGGAGCCGGAGGCTCCCCAGGGCTTTACCGTATTAACAGGAGAAGAGGAGCAAGTGAAGTTAGACACTGTCGTTGGACAACATGCACAGCTGATGACCAGAGCGCTATGATCGCTCCTCTTAAACAGTTTATTGACGCATAAATTAACTTAAAATGCAGAAATCTGCCGGCAGAATATGTTCGCTATTATTATCCTGCTGCCTGCAGTTTAGATTATTTAGATGAAAAACACCTACCAGCCGCCGCGGTGAGCCGCGAGGAGGCGACCCGGCCAGAGGCTGCTGTTGAATGGGATTCCTACTGACAGCGCACCGCCGGTATGTGGGGGTGTGAGCGGCTCCGACAGATATAATATTAGAAGGCAGGATGGTAATCTGGATGAACTGACGGCACTGATTAAGTTTTCAGGTGTATTTTCTCACTTAAAAACATATTAAAACTACTTTATTCCCACTGATCACAGCAAATATAGCTGCAAGGCAGAGAAAGGATAGTGAAGCTCCGCCCAACGCGCGTCAGAGAGCCAGAGCAGCAAAGCTGCTTCAGCCGCGCGTCAGAACTAACTGGTACAAGCAGCAAAAATGAAGCAGCAGACACGTGAATGTAGCATTACTTTGAACGTTCCGGTTCACACCGATGACGAGCCGTTGAAGTTCCTTTGTCAAATAACAGCAAGCACAGCGGTCATTTGTTTCACCATGTTTCACACAATCCACGCCCACACTTCGCCCTTTAACGTTCTCATGGCGATCTCAACAACGTCCGCAGTAACAACACACATAGGACGCGCCGCACATTTTGAGCGAAAAAAAAGATGTTTATATGCGCCTTATAGTCGTGAAAATACGGTAAATGTTTTATATCAGTTTGAGTCCGGATTAGCCAGCAGGTGGATCCAGATCCGCTAATCCGTGACCTCTGGGCTGCTGTATAAAACCTGGACCTTCAAAATAAAATCCAATCAATCAGTCAATCTACTGTTTATAATGACACCTTGAAAAACTAGAAATAGCATTGCTATCGTAACAGAATGCTTATTCATGCAACCATCAACCTAGCAGCCATTTCTGCTTCATCAGCGATCCCCGCCGTTCATACGGTTCGCTGACTGCTGTTCAACTCTCATCACTCTGGAACATTTCTTAGTTATTTCACCCTTCCCTAGGAGATGCTAACCAGTTTAGCCACAGTAAGCTACTTCCATGTTTGCCCCCTGCACCCTGCAGTGTTTGGTTCCTCTGTTATTGTAAAGGACTTTATTTACTAACCAGCTTAGCAAAAATAAAGCCTAAAACACAAGAATAACAGATAATGTTAACATGACTATGCAGCTTTAAGGTTAGACCAACCTTCTTACAATCTAAATTCATTTAAGGAATGCAGTTTTAATAATGCTGGAAACTTTAAGCCAATAATAAAAAAAAAAATCATTATCTTAGTTTTGTTTTAAAGCTAAAGCCAATTTTACAGCTTCTGTTAACGCATGAAACGATGTTCTCTCTGCTTCTTAGTTAAAAAATATCTTCTAACATAAATGCTTAGTAGTATAATTATTATTGTTCACAAAACACTGAGAAAAAAAACAGCTATATTAAAAGAGCTTCAATTATCGAGTTTTCATTTCTCAAAAAAATTAGTTTTAGTTTTCTAGTAAAACCCGCCATCTTTATCTTCTGCAAAGCTGCAGCTTGTTTGAATTTCTGTGACTCATAAATCTGAATTTTATTCAAACGTTGTATTTTATGATGAACGACCGACCGTGTTTGCCTTCTTCTGCGTCTGCTGTTGATCTTCAGCTTTAAGGAAATCCATTCGTTCAACTGTTTTCATTTTTTATTTAACTTTTGTCTTCCATCCAAAGGAGTCTAGAGGCGTATCGCGGAACACGAGGAGCTGTGATTCTAACCTGAGTTATGCAGCCATAACTTTCCGCGTTGTTTCAAGAACTGGTTTAAACTAATAAGACATTTCCTCCCGTCAGTCAAAGGTGTCGTTTAACGCAGCCATCGGTGAGAACTGCAGCTCAGCCGGAGAATGGAGGAGAAGGTGTCAGGTATGAAGTCTCAAAGCAAACAGTAACATCGAGTTTGGGATCTTTTTCCAATAATCGCTGACTCATGTTTATTGCTTTAAACTGCACGGCTCATGGAGCGCCTCAGACTTTAACAACAAACCTGCTGAAGACGTGATCAACATTCGATTTAAGGAGTAAAAATCTGATTAGGCAGTTTAAACAGACCGTTCTATATACGTCAGACAAAGCCAGAAGGTAAAGAAGATAAAGTTGCTTTTTTTTGTTTCCTTTTTAAGCCTTTGGGAGTTTGAGCTTGAAGGCTTTGATGAGGGGAAACGGAGCCTCTGCTCCTGCTGGTAAAACCAGAAACCTTTGAAGACTAGATTATTACGGATTGTTTGAATTTATTCTTGGTTTATGTGAGAAGTGCTCCTCAAACCCGGTTTCGTGTTTCATATGTGGGAAGTTAACATAAAGACAAACAGACAAAAGAAAAAAGGCCTTTAGAAGCCAAACAGAACCAGATTCCTCAGGTTTCATCTGAAACATCCAAACTTTGCCTTAAATGTGGAATATTTTTAATAAAATGTCAGAAAAACACCATAAATCATTCATAAGTAAATTTGATGTACTGACATTTTGTAGTGGTGGGGGTGTAACCTGCATCTCGCCCTGTGACTGCCTGCTGGAGCTAGGACCCGATGTTTTGCTGTTTTTATTACATATATCCACAATAAAGTCAGAAAACGTCGGCATGCTGCATATTTATCATTGGAAATACTCATCTGTATGCTCTCAAGTTGCAAAGATTTATCGATCCCATAAAATTGCATTATTGCATGTCCAGCCACTCTCAAAAGTGCGACTATCAAGGCTGCCTTAACAGCTCAGCGAACATAAATTTGTAGCTGATAAATTATTCATGCTCTGTAGTCACATTGAGTTGATCCAAAATTCTGCTATCCAGGATTTTCAGGTAAAGAAGGTTTATATCCTGGTTTAACAAAGACAAAGCCTCATAAATGTTTAACAGAAACGTTTCTCTCTCTGATGCCTTAACTAAGAAAAGCGGGACTTAGAAACGACGCTGTCAAGGAACGCTATGGACAGCGGAAACATGCAAGAGGAGGAGAGTTTAGTGTCGGAGGTCGTGGATGAGTCTCCTCCGTCATCCATTTTTTATTTAGAGGAGGAAAGCGGGGACGAAGATGTTGTGGAAGAGGACGCCAGGGCGGCAGAAGCTTGGTTTGGTGTAGAAGGCTTCCAGCCGTACATGTTTGAGCCCTTGCCTCGCAACGCTGCCAGTTCTGTTAGCTCTACGCCTGCCGAAGACACAGACGTCCATCCCCGTGAACACTGGGACGCAACTCAATGGGAAAGGAAAGGATTCTGGTTTCAACCGCTGCGTATATTAGCTGCGACACATGAATCAAGATGCTATGACTGAAAACATTTGATTGACAGATGACCGTTAATATATGATTGGCCGAATTTAGGTGTTCAGGCTGACGTAGAACTAACTGGCCTGCAGAAGATAACGATAAACAAAACAGATTTTAAGACAGGATTTGTTTTTTAAATAGAAATTTTCAAAATTTTGGGACAATATGGTCTGATAAAGAGAACATTTATATACATGTTTAAGCCAGAATGATTTGACATTTAAATATGACTTCCTTACGACTTTAAATAATTGTTGTTGATTGCAGATGTGTCTAGTAGTTCCCATTGATTTAGCTTGTAAAGCGGGGAGAATGGCGCTAGGCTTACCGCACCGTGACGTCACTGCTGGAAGATGGCAGGAGGGAGGGGCTACTTAACCTGACTCCACCAGATGGATTTGCTCCGCATATCCATCTGGAAACCTTCCGTTGAAGTAATTTTGGGAAGGGGTGAAAATACTGGTTAGCTGATTGGCCTATGTTGGTGATAGACAGGCCAAATAAACCAATCAGATCAACGAAGAATATGACGTACTAACAGAGCGACGACGAAGAGAAGCCAATTGATAGATCAAACTCTTGCTGAAACCAGTCGGGAGAAGAGCAAAAACATCTTTTCCTCTGAGAAAAGCCTCCAGAGCAGTGTTTTGCTCTTCTTTCAGTGAAGAAATACTCTGTAATTCCCATAAAACTTGCTTGATAGCCACGCTAACGCTAGTTTCATCGGCTGAAGCCGCCATGTTCTTTAGACTGAACTGTCGCGCTTCTCGTTGCGTCACACCTCAACCCGCCTCAAAGCCAACGCTGATTGGACGTTCGTTTGGTGAACGGCTCCAAATTTTCTTTAACGGAGAGTCTCCAGACTGATTAGGGAGTGAAACCTTGAAAGCTCGCGAGATCAGGATGGTCTCACGATGTTAGGGGCTACTATATTTGGGCAAAAATGGCCGCTCCCAGACTCAGTGACCATGACTAAAATTCTTGTTTTCATTTCTTTACTGATTAACGCTAAATTCATTAAATACGCGAACGTATTAGTTTTAGGTATAAATAACGATGCATTGATTATCCCTTGCTGAGCAGGACATAAAATAGCATGAAAACAGAAAGAAAACAGACAGGTTTCCAGTGCGAGTCCCATAATGATATGGAATATTTAACACAGTAATCGCCTCTGACCGCTCTGCCTTAAGCAAGGCACAGAAAGTGCAGTTGTTGCTATGGCGCTACCACAGCGGCCATTAAAATGCAATTTAACAGGGAAACTCCCGGGTGTGACTGCGTGTAACTGAGTGTGAAGCACAGAGATTATTACCCCGGTTGTTCTGTCAGGCTGAGAAAGTGAAAACAGCAAACATCAACAAAACAAAAGTCCTTTTTTTTTTTCCGCCCGCCTTCTAACTTACAGGTGATGTAATAGTTGACATTCCTCTTGAACTCCAGGCCCATGTAGTTGGGGCTGAACTCCTGGAACTTGATGGTGAACTTGATGTCCTTCTCAGGCTTGTTGCAGTTCACCAGCACGTTGGGGTCCAGCACAGTGCTGCAGCTCTCCGCCTGCTCTCTCTTCACCAGATACAGCTTGTAGAACTCGTAATCTCGTCCCTGGTCCGCTTTGGGACAGATGATGTCCAGCTTGTCCCCGATGTCTGGGTAGATTACCAGACCTTTTCCAGGAAGAAACCTAGAGGAGCAGGCGGAAGCATAAAGACAGAAACCGTCACTTCTGGATAAAAGAGTCTGTAAAAACAGCTGCATAATTGAAGTAGAGTTTATATAGAGTTAATACTTTTAGCTGAAGGAATTACAGGTTTAGTTTGGTCTGGCGTGGCGTTTAAGGCAGAAACACGCAGCATGTAGCAGCATGACACGGCCTCTCAGCAAGTCAACAGAGTGTTTCACACAAATCCTCTAAAGAGTTTTCTCACACTTGGATGTGAGTCAAATCATACGGAAAGTTATCCAGAAAGGAAAGGGAGCTGCGGCGACGCACAAAATGGCCGCTGTGGATCAGATTCTGCAGGAGGAACGCAACAGATTTCTGTTTCATACTTCTGGAGATCAGGGTTAGACCTGAACGCTTTAGCATCGATGCTGCTACTTCACAGGGAACAGGAAAAACAGTGCAGCGGTCAAATGGGAGGGTTGAGGCTCCTTGCCCCCCCCCAGCCCATCCTGATCATCTACTGCAGGATTAAGATAATCCATCTGACCTTACAGTGCCTCTCTGTCGACTGCCGCCAACTCAATCAGATCGGCTTTTGTTCCGTTTTCTTCGCTAAAGGTGGGCTGGCGAAGGAGGCCCGGGGGGGTAAATGTGTGTGAATACCTGGGGGGGGCAACGTGAGTGTGTGTGCTGGAGCATCAGTAGAAAGGGCTGAGGTTGCACTCCTATGGGGGAACAGATAGCGGGGGCAGATGGGCTGAATCATTGTTCTGGACTCGTTTGGGGCTTAAAACGTCAACATGGTTCAACTCTGCTGTCCCAGTTAGCCAAGCATTAACCAGACAGCCGGACGGACCGCGGGTGTGTTTATGCACGAGCGTGCGGGGGTGCGTGCGCGTGCGTGCATTGTGATGGCAGACAGCGAGCCCAGCAGCGGGCCTATCTGCTAGATCTGCCCATGCCAGCGGATTTAAGGAGGATTTAGCGAGGCGGGATGCATTTGTTGTTCTTTCTGATCCCTCACGTTTTAACAAGACATCAGTGGTTCGGGGGCCCCTCTCTCTGTCTGTGTGGGTGTCTCCCCTCATCCTCTCTCTCTCTCTCTCAGAGTATAATCTCACCTTATCTGCAGCCCCTCATTTTATCATCACACACCTCGTTTCACCACTAAATAAGCGGCTCTTCAGGCAGGCAGGACGGAAAGCCACGACCTCTCCTGTTAGAGGCCGATAGAGGGTAGATGTATAAAACATCTGCTGGTTGGAAGAAGAGTTTAACGTTAGATCAGCCCTGATCTGTGAGTCGGCAGACAGAAAGCAAAGATCAGATCAGTAAATGGGGATGGCATTGACAGCGCCACACCGCGGCGTGGAAGCTGAATCTCTGTTAGCTTTTTATTAATCATCAGAGAATGTTTCCTGTACTGGATTAGAGGAAACAGAGACGCTGCAAGAAGCTTAAAGTAGCAAATATTCTCTGCTGATCATTTAGTCCTAATAACTGTCAGCAGACACAAAAATGCTGAACGTAACACAGCAAAGTCTGACTCTGTTTGGCACAGAAGACGCTGCATTAGGAGGCTTTAAATCAGTTAAAATAGGTCTAATTTAACATCAGCATTGCTGCCTTGCAGCAGGAAGGTTCTGGGTTTGATTCCCGGTCCGGGGTCAATTCTATTCAGTTTATTTCTATAGCTCCAATTCACATCATGTCATCTCAGGTCACTTTATAGATCCAGACCAACCAGATCATCCAGTCAGATTGATTCAAAGTTTTCTATCTAAGGAAAACCAGCTGATTGCATCGACTCATTGACTCTTCAGCAATCCCTCACACTAAGCATGCTTGTAGCGACAGTGGAGAGGAAAAACTCCCTTTGAACAGGAAGAATCCTCCAGCAGAACCAGGCTCAGTGTGAGCGGCCATCTGCTGCTCATGACTGTTAGGTTAATATGCTTCTCTAAATCCTCCTTAGGTGTGAATGGTTTTTTGTCCTGTTTGTCTCTGTGTTGCCCTGCGATGGACTGGAGACCTGTCCAGGGTGGACCCCGCCTCTCACCCACAGACAGCTCTAGATAGGCACCTCGCAACCCCGCTTGGAACTAGCATGACAGAAAATGGATGGATGGAAGGAAAATAAGGCGTCAAAGACACTTTATCCACATGTTTTTATTAAATGCTACTTAAATCCTGTTTAATTGTTTAGTTATGCGCTGCCATCTATTCTCTCTCTCACATAAACACGGCGTGACGTCACATCTGGTCCTGATTGGAATACTTCATCATTAATCAGAGACAGAGAGGATTCTTATAGCTTTAGCAAAGTGAGAATAAGTAGGAAAAATCCAGAGCTTCTTTCCCTCAAACATCTTTTTTTTTTTAATAAAAAGGATCATTATGTTATGAGATTAGATTTACAGGTGAGAAAAAGTTTTAATATAATCTGCCTTGTGAAGGATTTAATAGGAGACTTTTTAAAACAGTTTTAATGTGTATAAATACGACATCAATGATGTTTTATGGACCCTGAGAAGATCTTTAACTGCAGCTTTAACTCAACTTGCAGTTTAGTTAAAAACAGTAAATAAATGATGGCGACCAATTCTTTTTCTTTCCTTTCTTCTTATATCAGGTTCGGTAACTTTATAAAAAAAACTTCCACTTAAATAGATCATTTTGCTGAGAAATATGATTCCAGCATATCAACAAGAGCTAGAAGAAGTGATTAAAATATCGTCTGCAAACAGAAATACATGATCAGGATTATTTCAGACTATATAACTTAAATGAAAAAAAGTTCATCAGAAAACTACTATATATATATATATATATATGTGTTTAAGGATGGAGTTGTTTTTTCTTCACTGTCAAATAAAAAAATAGAAAAGGGCTAATATAAATTTCAAGAGATAGAAAATTAGCATATCAAAGTTTGAAGAAATGTGGGATTAAAAACTTCCCAGTTAGGATCCTGCTGGAAGGATGTTTCCTCTTATGACGCTAATGAGGAGCTAGCCATTACACATTAAGAATTTAAAAAGTTCCCCATTTTCTGAGGAAATACCCTCCGTGAAAATGCAGATGATTGGATTAACATTCATGGCGGTTCAGGTCAGGAGCTTCACCAACCAAACGGCTCCATTCACAGGAGATGGATGAGATAAGAAAATTGGAAAACGGTCCTTTGCTCAGGATGATGACGGCGTGATGAGGAGCGGGGGCGCTCAGGGGCCTCCTCGTTCCAGCCCTGGATGCGGGTGAGACGTTATTTCCCTCACTATTGTCTAATACCCGCGAGTTTGAGGAGGGGAGGGGGGCGTCCCTGGTAATTCAAGAGGCCGATAAGAGAGAGAGAACATGGGGTTTCCTTTTGTCCTTCTGCTCCTGATAATTAGCTGGTGCTCAGCAGCAGCACTCTGCTTATGCCTGCTTGTTTTTTAGTGCGTTAAAGCAGACATATGTTTTCACTGCTGTGTGTGTGTGTGTGTGTGGGGGGGGGGTTCCGTGCAAACGCACCGCACGTTGACGCACGTGCATATGTCTATGAAGACGCAGACACAATCAGTCTCTAATTGGATCTACAAGATGCATCAGTGAGGCATAAACACGTCTCCATAGCAACCGTAGGCTTTGTTGCTGACCGCCCCGCCCGCCCGCCAACACCTCCACCTCCATTCGTCCCCTGATCTCAGACCCCCCCTCCATTTCCACTCAGCAATCTCATTCTCTCCTCCATTATCCTTTTCCTCTTATTCATCTCCTCTACATTTCCCTCATTTGCTTTTTTCCTCCCCCCCCCACCCGTCTCCATCCTCCCCCCCCATGCTTTACAAACACACACAAAAAAGAAAAACACCTACGGAAAACACAAGAAAGGGGAAAGAAATGGGAATCAGACCTCCGTTCCGTTTCATTCAACAAGTAGATGCATTACGTCGGCTTTTGTAGATTTCTTCTTTTTCAGATATCCTTCCACAAAAGACGAGCTCTGGAATATAACAAAGAGCCCGACTTCCCACCTACTCCATTGTCAGACTCGCAATGATTTAGATCCACAATTAAGATTTTCTAAATCTTAATATCCTTGTAGGGTTTATTTGAAACGGGCCCCTGTCATTGATTCAATTTTGCGAGCAGGCCTCATGGTTGGCGGTTAGATAGCTATCCTAAGTGAATTCGCTGCTTCTGTTTCCCAGCCTTTGTTAACTGTCTGCTATAATGAGGCTCTGGCTGCTGTGGAGGTCTGGAAGCGCCATCGCAGATGGGAAAGAAGCGGCATAAAAGAAATAGGGCAGCAATTAGTGTTTAGCCCAGTTTAAAAGCCCTCCACTTGGCAAGCTGCAGCCCAGCTCCAGTCCAGGATGTGAAACTAAACTGGTGGGCAGGGACTTTGTCTCCTGTTTGTCTCTCTGTGGGCTTAATCAGCACCACTCGGGTGAAACACACAGCCACGCCGTGGAGAGGAGGAGACGAGTGACTGAACGTTATTGTACTTTTGAAGAGGTCGAAAAGGGAGAAAAAGGGGTAAAAAGGGGAGGTTGAATTGCATCTTTCATTCCCGTTGTCTGGAGACCCATAAGACCTGTTGATGAAAGAAGTTGGAGTGCACAGAGGAAGAGCTGTACGGATACAAATAATGTTTCTGGGAAATGATCCCGAACGCCGGAGAGCCTTTATCCCCCTCGTGTCAAACGAGGTGGATCTGCCTGCACCAAACATAATAAAGGGAATCATTTTCCAAACAAGCGAATGAGGTTGGTTTTGTTTCATCTGGACAGCTCCGCAGCATGCTCAGTCCTGTAAAGAGCTTATCCAAACAGCCCGGCGCTGCAGCGCAGTGGAGAGAGAACAGAAAACAACCAAGCCCCCCCCATCCAACCTCCTTCTCTTTCTTTTTACATTCCACTGGTGAAAATAGACACATGATCTCACATATGCTGCACCCCACACACTCACATTCACACACATTTATACATGTGGAGGCTCACAAAAGCACCGTGGGGTGCATCCTGGACCTT